TTAACTTGTCAGCAAGAACTTCATGAAGTTGATTTTCCGCGACGGGCTGTATTTTGTGAATGGTTTTTAAACAACTACGGTGAACTTCATAATATCACCTTTTTTTCTGATGAAGCCTGGTTTCATTTAAGTGGTTACGTAAACTCACAGAATATGAGAATGTGGTCTTCTGAAAAACCAGATAACTTTTTTGTCGAGGGCCCTCTACACGCTCAAAAAATTGGAGTTTGGTGTGCTCTCAATCGAAGGAGGATTTATGGACCTATTTTTTTTAATGGTACTCTTACTGCGCAAAGGTATAGAGAAGAAATTATCGCTCCTTTTGTTAACCAGCTGGAAGAAAACGAAATTACAAACTTTTACTTTCAACAAGATGGCGCAAGGGCACATACGGCAGGCGAGACGATGAATATGTTGAGGGAAGTTTTCCAAAATCGACTAATAAGTCTCAATGCTGAACATGAATTTCCACCGAGGTCATGTGATATTACGCCGTGTGATTTCTTTTTGTGGCCTTACCTTAAAAACACTATTTTTGAACTGCCTATTCCTGATTTAAACCATCTGCAGGCTCGACTTATAGACAAGATTCGTGAAATTAACAATACCCCGAGCATCTTAGAAAATGTCTTTAATTCTTTGAGGAACAGGTGTGAAAAGTGCTTGGAACAAGGAGGGGGACACTTTCAGCAGCTGCTTTAATTTATTGTTATAACAAGGAGGGGGACACTTTCCGCAGCTCCTTTAATTGTTTGTTATTGTTATCACGATTATTCTTTAAAATAAAGTTATATAGTCATTAACGTTATTGAAACTGACAGCTGCTATACAGCTCGTTGAGAAATGAGGTTAAGTTGGTCGCTATAAGCTACTCCCTACGTCCAATGTGTCAGAGCCAACTTCGACCACGTTTTTATTTGAACGCTCGTTATAACACAAAAACGAAGTAAAATGTCGGTATAGTTCATAGGAAAAATTTTTGTAGAGAATTGAATTTTCCATCAAAATGGCAGGTTTTTAAAAAATTTAAAAGAAAAATTTTATGCAAAAATTCGTTAATAAACAATTTTAGAAAAGCAAAAAATAAAATTTTTTGATTTTTTTTTACTTCTTATACTCTAATTTTTGTTAAAAACGACGAAAATCTAAAAAAATGTTTAAGTTTGACCGGTTATAACTCAGTCAATATTAGTCTAAAACTTTTGAAAATACATCATATTGAAGGGAAGCTCATCTAGTTTATTTGTACAACAATTTTCTTTGCCTACTTCTACTAAAAGGAAGTAATAAAATCAAAAAATCTTATTTTTTACTTTTTTAAATTGTTTATTAACGATTTTTTGCATAAAATTTTTCTTTTAAAATGCGCTAAAAAGAAAAAAATTAACTTTAACTTTAAAAATTTTACTATCAACTTATAACGTCATTACACAATTTATATGTTATAAAAGCTTGTCGCGAGATTTAAGTACTCGTATTTACTTAGTTTGAATTATTTAAATGCGCTAAAAAGAAACAATCTAAGTAAATACGAGTACTTGAATCTCGCGTTATAAGTTGATTGTAAAAGTTTTAAAGTTAAAGTTTATTTTTTTCTCTTTAACGCATTTAAATAAAAGCTTGTTTTTTAAAAAGGTTTTTTACTTTTAATTTATTTTTTACTTCTTAGTTATCGCTGGACACGTTCCTCAGTCTGTTCATCTCAATCAACGCATCTTTATTGCAAGGTCGTTTGCCGGTTAATTTCGAACAGTCTAGCTCTTCAATAATGAGACCTTCTAATGATTTTACCCTACTTAAGGCCACGTATGCTTGACCGGCAGCGAAGAGCTTTGAGCCTAAGTATACAACGGCATGGTCGACGGTACTACCCTGCATTTTGTGTACTGTGCAAGCCCAACATAATATAATTGGAAGCATTCTTCGTTCTGCAGTACCGTGACTATATTTTGCTGGAAATTGCACAGACTTGGGTTGAATAAGGTGAACACCGTCTTTACCGAAGTCTATACGGACGGATGGTATGTCAGTTTCATACATTTGTGCTCTCCGGAAGCAGGGCCATATGATTTCTGTAATATGGCCAATGGCACCATTCACCAGACCTTTGGACACATCTACATTGTAACGCAACATCACCTTGGCCCCAACGAATATTTCTATAGTAGGATCATATTCGATGCTAAGTAATAAATCATTGTCTGTCAAGGGAACCAATGAAGTACGCTTTTAAGGGTTTTACAAATTGAATAATTTCTTTATACATTATGAAGGGACGAGGGGATCAGTTCAGGTCTGGCACCCTTGTTCTGGAGTTATCCTTCTCCTAGACAGGTTGCAAACCAATACTATTGACGCCTATCTCACCACATTACACAAGTCAAAGTTAACTAACCGTTCCTACAGACTTGAACAATTCGACCTCAATATCATAATCGAGGATTCCAAACACCCCACCACACCAAAATTTCAGACGGATTGAATAAGGGAGTTTATGTTCAGCATCTTAATTTTTTAAAACTCGCATTTGTATTCTCTGTAAGTCCTTTCATTTGATACCCATATTGTAGGCAAGCATTAAAAATAATTAGTCCGCCATCTTGGGCGTTCCACCATGTTGGATTTAGAATAACGTCACACAGCTAATCACATATTGTCATCCAAACCGAATGTGTATACAAATTTTTAGCTCAATCGGTTGAAGATATCTGCTTCAAAATTGAGTTTCAAGCTTTAGAAGTCCGCCATATTGGATTTAGAGTGATGTTACTTTATTTTTCGAGTTATTCTTAGCAAGTCCTTTCATTTGATACCCATATTGTAGGAGTGCATTAAAAAAATAATTAGTCCGCCATCTTGCATGTGCCGCCATGTTGGATTTAGAATGACGTCACACAGTTAATCATGCATTGTCATCCAAACTGAACGTGTATACAAAATTTCAGCTCAATCGGTTGAGGATATCTGCTTCAAAATTGAGTTGCAAGATTCAACCCGCACAAACATATTACATACAGGGTGATTCATTAACAATGGGAAAGTCGAAAGCTGAAGATACTACACGTGAAATGGTGACCATTGGCGCAAACATGCCTTATCCGAAAGTTGATAGTTTCGGAAATACAGGGTGTTGAAAGTTAAAATTTTAAATCGTTTTTTTTGCGATTATTCTGAAAATATNGTGAAATGGTGACCATTGGCGCAAACATGCCTTATCCGAAAGTTGATAGTTTCGGAAATACAGGGTGTTGAAAGTTAAAATTTTAAATCGTTTTTTTTGCGATTATTCTGAAAATATGTAGGTTAGGAACTTGAAAATTTGTGAAGCTGTATTTTTTTAGGCGACGAATAAGATGCGTGTTGTAATTTCAGCATTGCTTGTAGAGGGCGACACTTACGACCAATTTTACCGAAAATTTAGTTAATAACTTTTTACCCTGTATGTCTAACATGAAACTTGATTCAAAACCTGAAAGAGCAATAATTTTTCCATTAATTGTGTATTCTTGTGTCATTTCGATATCTCGATCCGTTTTCGAGAAAAATCGATTTAACGAACACTATGTTTTGATAATACGAGAAATTAAGAGCGAAACAAACCAAGTGTTTCTTCGTGTTATTACAACAATTAACAATAAAACAAATGAAATTCGTAATAATGATTTAAAGTCAGTGCTCGAAGAATCCACCGTTGACATTTACACAACGTTTTCCGAGAGATCTTCGAGTTTGAAACAACATATTGGGATCGCGTTTGACTTCGTTGGCAGCGATTTGTATTCTTTGCCACACGAAGCAATAAATTCTTCCAAATAGAAAAATTAAGAGGATTTAAGTCCGGACTTCTGGGTGGCCAACTAAAAATTCTTCAACGGCTTGAAAAAGTTCCACTTTATTTAAGAAGAGACATGTGGTTCATGCAGACGGAGCTCCACCGCATTTTTCTTGGCCAGTGAGTGCATATTTAGATGCAGTTTTTCCAAATCGCTGGATTGGCCATGAATCATTTTTTCTTGGCCATCCAGAATTCCGGACTTCAATCCTCTTGATTTTTCTATTTGGTCTCGATTGAAACATATAATTTACAAAGAATCTATTGGCTCGTGTGAATAGTTATGGCAAAGGATACAAATCGCTGCCAACGAAGTCAGACGCAATCCCAATATATTGTTTCAAACTCGAAGATCTCTCAGAAAACGTGTAAAGTGTATCATTGTCAACAGTGGATTCTTCGAACAATTACTTTAAATCATAATTACGTATTTTATTTGTTTTATTGTTAATTGTTGTAATAACACGAAGAAACACTTGGTTTCTTTCGCTTTTAATTTCTCATATTATCAAAACATAGTGTTCCTTAAATCGATTTTTCTCGAAAAAGGATCGAGATAGCGAAATGAAACAAGAGTTCATAATTAATGAAAAAATGATAGCTCTTTCAGGTTTTGAATCAAGTTTCATGTTAAATATACAGGGTAAAAAGTTATTAACTAAATTTTCGGTAAAATTGTTAGTAAGTAAGTAGTATTGAAGTAAGTAATAGGGCGCCCTCTATGAGCAATGCTGAAATTACAACACGCATCTTATTCGTCGCTAAAAAAATATAGTATCACAAATTTTCAAGTTCCTAACCTACATATTTTCAGAATAATCGCAAAAAACGATTTAAAATTTTAACTTTCAACACCCTGTATTTCCGAAACTATTAACTTTCGGATAAGGCATATTTGCGCCAATCGTCACCATTTCACGTGTAGTATCTACAGCTTTCGACTTTCCCATTGTTAATGAATCACCCTGTATATTGCAAGTTAAATAAAAGCTTGTAAAAACTGAAAGGGGTGCGTTTTCACTCCTATCTCCAATTTCCACCCTCTAATATAATAGTACTGCGCGGTTCATCTAAAATTACCCTTTGAACTATTCATGCAATAACCCTGTTTTTTTGGATATAATCAATATAAGCTTAACTAAAAAAAGGAAGAATGTCAGTTTCTTACCTTTTTTTAGACCAAGAACGCACTTTATCACTCTTCTAGCTATCTCCTTTCTTTGCCCAGCCGCCAATTGTATATCACCATCTGAAATTCCATCAATTAATAAATTTTTCTAGAAAAATTAACAGATTCTATTTTAAAACAAATCGGCTAGTTGCATTAAAATAGTTAGTAGATATGATTCGATTTATTGTATGTGACCTTTGTCGGAAAGATAACTTCCATCACATTCAAATTAATGTAATAAACTTGCCACATTTTGGAATTTTTTTGATAAAGTGACAGAGAAATATAGTATAGCTAATCCAGAAATCTAATCTACTTCAGCAAATTTTCTATTACATTTTTAAATCAGTAAGCAACAAGCAGTTATATCAACGCAACTTATAGAAAAAATCTGTGTTGTTTTTATACAGCTTTAAATGTCAGTGACGTTACTGCGTCCAAAGCGAACGTAGTTCATTTAACAACTTTCACGGAAATCGATTTTTAATCTGTTTCCTCCCCGAAGGCGTGAAGCAAGCTAAAATTTGAGCAACGCAGCAGCTGGGCAGGTGCAGACATGCATAATAAAGCAGCAATTTGCTTTTCAAGTCAAGCTTTGTTAAGGAAAAGTGACCAAAAGCGTCCCCAACTCCCATATCTAATTTTTCTTCCAAATTATTTCATAAGATTAAATCCCTGTTTATTTATGGCGGCAATTTCAATGTCGTTAAATGTCGCGTTTTTTAGCGAATTTTGGGGCCGTTAACGTCGCCGAAATCTCGATTCTGCCATGTTCTTATAAATTACAGCTTTTGAGATCATTGAAAAGTGTCAAAATTATAAATTAAAAAAACTCTTGTCGTAATATTATGTAAATAAATCTGGCAATGGGACCTTTATCATAAGTAGAGCTGTCATAATTCGCCGCGCACCAAAGGCGTGCGGGTCATAAAATAAAGTGAACAATGATTATAAGATTTATTTCATTGTATCATTGTGAAACACGTAAATTGTTTTATTTGCTCCCACTATAGTAAATAGACTATTAACACATTGGTTCTAAGGAGGTAAGTGGATTTTACTGTAGAAGTGGGAGTAACGGGAGGTAGCTTATCTCCATAGGGAAATAAGCGATTTCGCGTTATAAACGCATATTTTATGAACAAATAAATAGAAATATTTGATGAACATTACATTTTATTCATTATTATGAATGAATATTTATAGTAATTGTGCAGTTATTATTTAATAACATTTATAAAGTTTGGATAATTATTCCCCTCGCGTTTACTAATTGTCACATTTTTCACCGCTCACCGCTTTTGACCGCTCCATTTCAGTCACCGGAGGCTCAATATTATCTGACTGATCCATTAAAACAGCATGATGCGACATACAACTAGAACCCGGAGTTGAAGTGTCATTGTCAAGTCTGATTTTATAATATGTAACGCACCTACATACTTAAATTTTGTATCTTTCACAGTTTTCCATACAACCTTGTATAGCCCGTTGGAATAAAATTATTATTATTATTGTAAAGAATCCTGTTGGTTATTTCATTTTTGTTACTTAAACTGTCAGCTTTCTGCAATTGTGGCTGACTTCCATCCACCACATGATGATTACTAATACATCAGCTCCTGTATTACCCAGTAACGTTGCCGATGTTCTTCGGAATGAATGGCCTGTAAATGCTTCAGGATGTTCTAGTTTCAAAAACTGTGCAATCTTATTAGGAATCATAGAAAGGGTATTCTTGCCGACTGGTTGGTTGTAACATCAACCTGCTTGATAGCGGATAAAAAACCGTGAAATTTCAGTTTTAATTTTCAATCTAATCTTGATATATTTCTTGAGAATTTCTAGGTGAGAAACAGAATCCAGACGAGAAGTGATTGTAAAAGTACGTGACATACCATTTTTAGAATATGGAATTGTAACTACAATAATGTCATGAAATTTTTGAAATTGACATTTTCCAAAGCAAGTGCATAACTCATCAGAACCGCATGCTCCTGCAATGCCTAAGACCGTCAGTACCTTCATTGGCAAATACCTATGTGTTATCGGGTGCCTGAACGAGAAAATTGTTGACTTGTTCTCTTGTAAAAACGTTTACCTTTTTAGGTATATAGCCGTCATTCTTACGTTTCAAAAACGCTCTCAGCTTGGGGTATTTTGTTATATACTCGTTCTCCTCTATGAAAATAGTTAACTTAATCATTCAACTTCAATAAAGATGTGAAAGTGGAACCTTACAACTTCGTAGAAGAAATGGAGACCGCATACGTCTACAACATATTGTACCAGCCTAGGAATAAAATTTAAACATTGTGGAAGAAAATTACCATAAGACAGTCTTTAGAAAATCACATAAAGCGTGTCCACATTTTGTGACTGTGAATGTGAATTTTTACGATAAAATTCTCAAAACTTCCGATTTACAGAGTTACAGATGAAGCTATGTTTACAGGAAATGAGTTAAATAATATTCACAACACACATGTCTGGGAAAATCTGCATTCGATTCAAAAAGACTGCTTCCAGCACCTTTTTTCTTAAATGTTTGGGCATGAATTATCAACGATTTATTTGCTTTACGTCAGAGGTCCCCAAAACTTTTGTCGCGTAGACCACGTGCCAATTTATTCTGTTTTAATATAGAATTGTTACGAATTCTATTTTTTTTCTTCTTAAAAATATGTACTATGTAGTTTTCTTAAAAGAATTACACTTTGGGTGTGGTAAATATGCATATATCTCTAACGTAAATTTACATTTTGGGTAAATTACACAAAAATTGTAAAATTACCCAAATACTTAATATAACTTTATTTGTATGATGTAATTTTACACTATCTACTGTGGCGTTAAAATAATCAACAATTTGGTGCATAATATACATAATTTTTTTTCAGTGTTCTTACCTCATTTTCAACAAAAACCTCCTAATGGAGTTCCACAAATATTGTGAATAAGACTAGGGGTTGTTGTAACATGACCACCGCGGTCTCCTAACTTAAATTCCTGGATATTTTTTTTGGGAACATTTAAGAAATAAAGTGTATCGTACTGAAATGGAAACTATTGATGATTTACGTAATAACAGATGCGGCCAATAATTTACGATTGCAAGACCAGCAAGAACAAGGAACAAGAAATAAGGAATATCCGAACTAGGTCAGACGTGCCCAAATAAATTTACGAATCGACAAAATTTTGAACAATTGTAATATCACGTAGTATCTAATTTCTTCTTAATTAAAATACTTATTAACATTTAACAATAGTAGGAAATAATAACAATAATGAAAACAATAATTGACAGTCATCATTTAGAAGGTTACAGTTAAATTAGTTTAAAATGGGTAAACTCCAAAATTAAATTGGAACAGTTTGATAGAAGATCGGTGTCACCCACAATTCTGAATAAAAGTAACCGAACATACGTAAGTACAAACTAGGTCAAACTGGGAAACTTTAGATTGGTTCCTTTGAATTTTCAAACGTACCATTAAGTTATTGTTGGAGAAAACTCGTGACACAGATAAATATTACGCAATTACGATGACGGTTCTGTTTAATAAAAGACATAAGTTACTACAAGGGTCACAAGCTACGAAGTGGTTATTTATGTATCTGGTACAAAGCCATACCTGTACAATCTACGGCCCTAAAAAAGTCAAACATGCAAACTTAAATTAGTTGCAATTTTGATAGTTTGTAATCAAAGAAGTGTTTTCGAAGACAATGAGCGATTCAGAAGAAATTATTTGTACTCCTTCTCAACTGAGAGAAGCCGCTGAAAGTTTGGAAAAAGATTTGTTAGCTAAGAAGAGGTACGATAAAGTTTATGATGTTTTCAAGTGTTGGTGTTCGCATAAAAGCGTTCAGGAAGCTGTAGTCCTTTAAATATTAAAGATAAAGTGGATATCTCCAAATTTTTGAAGTTAATGACATTTTTGAAACAACAAAATCTAGGATATGTATCCAAAAAGTCAAGCACTTTCTCCAGTGAGGACATTGTGACGTTTTTGAAGAATGCACGTGATGATATGCTACCTATAAAGGTTGTATTCATAATTGGTGTATCGAAGTGACGAACTGTATAAAATAAAATTTACTGATGTTAATATCGTGAAAAATAAGGTGCATATCGAAATTTCAACATCAAAAACCTACCAGTCAAGAGTATTTATAGTGAGTAATGAAGAATGGGTAACGCTAATTAAAACATATTGCTTTGTTTAGATGTAGATGTAAATGAAAATTTCTTTTTACAATTATGATTCGGTAAAATCACTCGCCATTTGGCCACAATTCGGTAAATCAATTTCCCAAAAAAATTGCAGTGTTTTTAACGATTCCGCCATGTGAATCATACGGGACGCTGCTCCCGAAGAACGGCTATTGGTAAATAGCGGTGGTGACATTCTCCAACTGAAGAGATTAGGAGGATGGAAATTTTCCACGTAGCGGAAGGGTACGTCGATAAGTCTACAGATTATCAGGTTAAAATTGCCACAAAAATATTTGGCGAAATGCCAAACTCCAGTACTAAAAACTCCAGTACTAATTTCTACGCAGGATGTTCAGCGTGGATTAATAATTTCTGTTGCCGCTTATAACCAACCGAATGTTACAATTAATTTAGTAAAATAATTTGTAAACTTATTATGAATAAAATTTGTTGAGAATGTTTTAATGTACAATAAGATATTTTTTGAAACAAACATTTTCGTTATTCAATGAATGCTGACCTGGTTTAAAAATGACATCTGCCAGGGTGGAAAGTAATCACTTTCCATCATAGATCTAATAGTATACAGGGTGTTGCAAAATATTTTTCAGATAATTCTGGAGCAGATTCTACGTCCAAAAATACGAAAAAATTCCTATAAACGTAGGTCTGCAAATGCTTCGTTTTCGAAATAGAAGGTATCATATAAAAAATAAAAAAAATATGTTTTTTTATTGATAATTTCTAAATATTTCATTGGAAATCGTTTAAATTTGGGTCAATACATTTATGATACGTAGGTTATAATTTGGTATAATCGACTGCATTTCAGACCCATCAGGGACGTAGATATGGG